CGTCAGACGGGCCAGGAGCCCACCAAGATGGCCGAAATTGGCTCGCAGCTGGCCCAAGACAGCCCACGAGGCCTCCAAGAGGGCCTCCAGGAAAGCCAGAAAAGGCGCAACATATTGATTTCCCCGGGTTTTTGCAGGGTTTTGGCATTCGCTTCTTTTCGGCCTTCCAGCGGACCGACAGCCCAAGAGCCCCCAAAGATCGCACACAGATCGCCCAAGAGGCCTCCAAGATGGCACCAGAACGGCCCAAGAGGCCCCCAAGACGGCCCCACGAGGCCCCCAAGACGGCCCAGGATGCGTTTCAGACGCCCAGGATGGAATCCAAGACGGCCCTGGAGCACCCCAAGAGGGCCCCAAGTCGGCCCAGAAAGGCCGCCCAAACGGCTTCCGACGGCGTCAGACGGGCCAGGAGCCCACCAAGACGGCCGAAGATGGCCCATGAGTTTTTGAATGATTGTTGCGTTTGCTTGTTTTTTCCGCCTTCCGACGGCCCGAGATGGCACAAGAGCCCCCAAAGATCGCCCAAAAGGCACAAAACGGCCCCAAGAGGCCCCCAAGACGGCCCAAGAGGCCTCCAAAAGCTCGCGGTAGCCTTGAAGACGGCCCAAGAGCCCTCCAAGACGTCCTCCAAAAAGGCCCGAAAGGATCAAAATGGCCTCCAGACGGCCAAGAGGACCATCAAGATGCCCACGTGTTCCCCGAAGGCTTTCCAAACCGATTCGGGGAACACATGGTCCGATAGCTTGGCAGGTCTGGCCGCAACGTGCGGCCACATAGGCGCTTCCAACAAGGCAGGGGGCGGCGGTGATTCGCCGTAGGCGTCTTCGATCCGCCGCCCCCTGTCGATTCATCGCAGGGGTGCCTGGCGTGCTGGATCCTCTAGTTTTTTCCCAAAAGAACTCCCCCTGGGGCTTCGGCCCGTCCAGCCGGCCAGCCGGAAGGCCCGGCATGTTTGGATATGTTGCTCAAGATGGCCCAGGATGGTCTCCAAAATGGCCACGTTCCAAGATGGTCCAAGATGGCCTCCAAATCCGCCCAAGATGGTCCAAGACGGCCTCCCATACGGCCCCAGAGAGCCCCAGACGGCCCAAGACGGCCCAAGAGGCCCCCCAGAGGCTCCAAGACGGCCCCAGAGGCCTCCAAGAGGTCCTCCAGGAGGGCCCGAAGAGGCTCAAATCATCGATTTGCTTTAGGTTGTTGAAGGATTTTCGCATTCGCTTCTTCTCGGCGTTCCGACGACCCAAGACGGCCCAAGAGGCCCCCAAAATCGCCCCCACAGCGCCCAAGAAGCCTCCAAAACGGCCTCAGGACTGCCCAAGAGGCCCCCACGACGGCCCCAAGAGGGCACAAAGACAAACCAAGAGACCTCCAAAACGCCCAAGATGGCCTCCAAAACGGCCCTGGAGCACCCCGAGAAGGCCCCAAGTCGGCCCAGAAAAGGCACCCCAAACGGCTTCCGACTGCGTCAGACGGGCCAAAGGCCCACCAAGATGGCCGAAGTCGGCTCGAAGCTGGCCCAAGACGGCCCAAGAGGCCTCCAAGAGGGCCTCCAGGAAGGCCAGAAAAAAAGGCCAACAACACTTATTTCCCTTAGTTGTTTAAAGCGGATTTTGGCATTTGTTTCTTTTCGGCCTTCGAGCGGCCCGATACGGCCCGATAGCCCCCAAAGATCGCCCAAGAGGCCTCCAAGATGGCCCCAGAACGGCCCAAGAGGCCCCCAAGACGGCCCCAAGAGGCCCCCAAGGCGGCCCAGGAGGCTTTTAAGACGCCCAAGATGGCCTCCAAGACGGCCTTGGAGCATTCCAACGGGCCCCTAGTCGGCTCAGAGAGGCCCCCCAAACGGCTCCCGACGGCGTCGGACGGGCCAGGGACCTACCAAGACGGCCGAAGATGCACTAAGATGCCTCCAAGACGGCCCAAGATGCCTCCAAGAGAGCCTCCAGGAAGGCCCGAGAAGGCCACCATCATGGATTCCCCATGAGTTGTTTCGAAGGATTGTGGCATTTGCTTTTTTTGGCCTTCTATTTTTCTCCAGTGCAAGCTTGAGAGGGCGCAGGGCCGAGGAGCCTCGGCAGCGACGGTGCGTAGAACCAGGCGGCATTCAACAAGCAAAAAACTCTTGGCCCGATGCATTCGTGAATTGGCGTGGGAAAGAAAAGCAAGAGAGCAGACAAAGGAGGGAGGGTTGGGCGGCTCGCGCGGCTGGATTGATCCAGCGGTTGCGGATCCACAAATTGCCAGGCCTGCACGATAAACTATCTCCAAGGCCTTCTATTCTTCTCCAGCACAAGCTTGAGAGTGCGCAGGGCCGAGGAGCCTCGGCAGCAACGGCACTTGCAACCTGGCGGCATTCAGCGAACAAACAACTCTCGGCCACACGCGCGGCCAGTTGCATTAGCGCACCGGTTATACCGCTAGCATTTACACATGTCCCACAACCCCGTGAATTTACTATCACAAGAGGCGTCTACCAAGGCTTTAGCAAGGGCTGTGCACAGAGGCTTCGGATATGGCTGTGCCACGGCCGTCCATAATTCGCCTTCAAGGGCCTTGCCTTCGAGAACCTGGCGCCTACACCCAGAGCGCTCGCAGATCCCCCTTCCGCGGCACTTTCGCCCGAGACGATCCGAGGGGACGCGCCGCAGGCGAAGCCGAATACGCTTTCGCCACGGCCCGTCTCGCATGCAAACATTTGTGAATATATTCCGGACGCTGGTGGGCTCAGCGAGACCCAGCACAGGCGGACAGAGCCAAAGTCTCGCAAAAGCAAATTCTCGAGCCCTCCAGGGGCCCCACGTGCATGAGCTAACCTGGCGAGCGTCGCGGAGGCTTGCATCAACTTGTTACCCAACTGCACCCTAGAACGATCAGACACGGGCAAAATAGGCAGGCCTAGAGGAAACTCCTTGGGCCGTAACGGTCCGGGCCCCGACTTTGCGAACCTGCGAGCCATCGAGAAAGACGTGCAGGGTGCGCGCGGCCACAGGATGCTCACCTCTCCACTGAGAGTCCAACCTTTCAGGGCTTCTAGGCTGGCCGTCTTGGCGAAGTCTGACTGCGCTCCTCGAATGATGTCCCACTCCAGCGTAGGGGCGCCTCGGGCCCGCAGTGCGGCTGCGAGCCTGCCCGAGCCCGAGAAGACCTCGACGGCGATTCGCTCCTTGCCCAGGCGCACTCGGCGGAGCGTCGCGCGTAGCTGAGCCCGAACAGGCGGGGCAACCGCTGCGTGCTCAGGCGCAGCCGCTGCTGCGCCACGGGTGGCACCTTCGCCGCCTGAGGCGCCGGGCGCCCGTGCTGCTCGTATCTTCGGACCGAGAGCCCGGCCCGCCAGCGGCCGCGCTTGGCCGCCTTCTCCAGCGACCTGCGCCCTACGATCCTGTCGTGACTGGCCCCGACGTGCCTGAGGCAGTGCAGCGTGGCGCCGAGGCCTCGCGGGCCCAGCGCTGCCATGGCCTCTTCGAACTCTGCGCGCAGCTGCGCGTAGCCGAAACTCCACGGCGGCGCGCCGGGCACCAGCCGCGCCTTGAGCTCGCTCAGCGCGGGCGTGAGCCAGAGGAGCTCGGGGACATCCGGCGGCGGGGGGTCGCCCAGCTCGCCGATCTTGCCGGGCGCCAGCAGCTCCTCTGGACGCAGCAGCAGGGCCCACCGGCGGAACCCGCCTTGCAGGCCCTGAGCCGGGGCCACCAGCTGGAATGCTTTCATGGCCAGCTGCTAGCCTGGTCGCAGGTAGCAGTGGAGCGTGAGGCTGAGGGCACACGCTATCGCCACCTGCCCCTTCAGCAGCAGGATCTCCAGGGCCCCGCGCAGGACGAGCCAGGGAAGCGGCGGGCGCGAGCGGCCTGGTCGCCTGCGCTTCCAGCCCAGCAGTGCCCGGCTGCTCCGCGGCAGCACCGCCCGCAGGGGTCGCCCCAGCGCTGGCCTCGCCCACGGCGCCGCCGACAGCAGCTTCGCCGCCCTGTTGGGACGCGCCTTCCGAGAACTCGTCGTTCAGGTTCTGCGGCAGCGCGTCGCCCCGCTCCAGCGCGCTCCAGATGGGCAGGGTCTCCTGACCCAGCCGGCGGCAAATGCCGCTGAGGCAGCGCACGTAGGTCTGCTGCGTCGAAGGCCTCGCCGCTTCCAGCTCCAGGCCCGAGACGCTCGAGCCCTGGAGGCGGTGCCGCGGCAAGGCTGTCGCGGTCGACGACTCGGCCGCGAGGCCTCGGCGTCTGGCACGGGCCCTCGCCGACGGGGCGCCCCGAGGCGCGGCCGCAGCTCGGCGGCTGCCCGCGGGCGCGCTCGAGGCCGGCGGCGGCGGCTCCCTCGGCGCGGCCGCCAGGGGCGTTCTGTATTCCATCGCCCCGCAAACGACGAGGCTCGAACCGCTTGGAAGGGCCGTCGGCGGGGTTCCACTCGGAGGGAACCCAACGAACTGCGACTCGACGCGAAGAGGCGAGCTGAAGTGCGGCAAGGTGCCGCAACTGTGCAAGGATAGGAAAGTCCGAGGCTCGCCCTTTTGTAACTGCGCAACAGATACACGTGCTATCGGGCAAAAAGAAAAGCCGACAGCCGTGATGCGCCACCCGGCGCACCTGCCTCCGCATCGCCCAGAGGAGCGCCTCGCCCTCCAGGAAATGAATAGGAGCCTTGTGCCGCCAACGTCTCGAAACCACCGTCTTCCACCGTGGTGACTGGCAGAACTCGGCGGGCACGTCGGGAGCGGCAGAGTCGCCCACGGCGCCCTCTCGCAGGGCGCGCGCCCTCTAGCCCTCGGCCACCAGCTCGCTCTCCTTGAACCGCCAGCGCTCTCTCACCCGCCCGATGCTGCCCACCTCGGCTGGGGCGGCCGCGAATTCCACGGCGCCCAGACCCGACAGGGGCGCGTCCGCGGCCATGACGCTAGGCGCCCAGGCGCCGCGCAGGTCGGCCCACGCCAGCGGCGGCAACGCCCGCGTCCAGGGCAGCTCCCGACGCGCCGAAGGCCAGAGCCGCACGCGGCGGGCTCAGCACCTGCTGATGAAGACGTAAGAGGCGCTGAGCAGGCTGAGCATCTCGCGCCGCAGCAAGAGGACGTACGTCAGGTACCCGATCAGCCTCTCCAGCTCGGCCCCCGTCAGAAGTGGGTGCGTCGGGGCGTGGTCCAGACGCAGGACCAGCCGCCAGAAACGCTCGGGCGCGATGTGGATCGCGCCCTTCACACCGTCGACGTGGAAGCCCAAGAGGCCCGCGTCGACCTGCGGCCCGGAGACGTCATGAGTAGCCAGGCCGCGACCCCTCACCGTCAACCTGGACTGCCTCCTTCTCGGCCCACAACGAGGCGAAGTTGTCGATGTGCAGGAGAGCGGCGGGCTCGCGCCCGGCGACGGCGGGCGCGCAGCGGCGATTGCAGATCCAGCGCCGAGCGCCCAGCGGCCCCGACCGCAGCAGCTCCGCGTTCGCCGTTTGCACGAGCGCCACGACCCAGCCCCAGCCCACCGGTGCCGCGCGAACCTGGGGGTGCACCAGCTCGGCGCCTCCAGGAAACAGGTCGCGCATGCGGCGCGGCAGCGCCCGCCGCGGCGCCGCCGGCAGCGCGAAGTCGGCGCGCAGGTCGACGGGCAGGAGGCACTGGTAGCAGCAGTTCTCGACGCCCCCCTCGCTGACCCACAACCTTTGACCAGCGGGCAGCTCCATATCGCCGAGGGCCTCGGGCGAGGCCAGGGCGACGCCGTCGGGCGGCGCGAACTGCGCGCTGGTCTTCCGAGGTTCGAAGATGACCCGCAGCGAACCGGCCTTCTTACGAACAAAGAAGAATCCCACAACATTGCGAACCTCGGTCGCCGGCTCGACGACCCCAGATTCATAAACACTGTTCAAAAACTCGGCGAACTGTCTCGGGGACCTCGACAGGATGGGATCCATCGCGATGCCCAGCTCGTCCGCCATCGCCGCGCCGTCCTGTGTATACGCCGCTGGTAGCCGAATAGCGCGGCCACAGTCCCCAAGCAGCTTCTGGTAGTGGTCGGGCCGGCAGCCGACGAGGTCGATCGCCTGGTTGCCGACCGCCGGCAGGGCCAGCCTGCCACGCTGGCAGGCAGCGAACTCTCCCGCGACGACGCCTCCACAGGCGTAGCCAGACCCGCAGCCCCGCAGCGCAGACCACGCTCCCGAGGTGGTGGGGTCGTCGGGCGGAGGCGGCACGTAGTAGGCACTGGCCAAGCTGGCCACCGCCTGGCGCTGGATGGCGCCTGGCATCACTTTGAGGCCCCACGCCTCGCCGCGCCCGCCCAGAGCGTTGAGCGTCGCGACGCCGTCCTGCAGCCACGCCTCCGCAGCCCGACGGCGCGATCGCCGCCGATCCGCGCAGCGCAAAACACCCGGCCTCGCCGGCGATGACCCCTCCAAGAGGTGAGCCAAGCAGCGGCCCGATGGAGCGGCAGCAGATCGCGAGCCCAGCCAAGGCCCTCACCTGCAACACCAGGGCGGCTCGCCATCCTCCTCAAGCGAGCAGCCCTCCCCTATGCAGCTAGTGCGACGGCCGGGGGCCTCCGTCGTCCGAGATAGCTCAAGCAGCTTCACCCCCCTGCCCGACGCCTCGCTCGCGCGGGTTCTTGGGGGGCTTGTCGTCGTTCGTCCTGCGTGAGGCGCCGGGGGTCGCGTCCGTCGAGCGGGCCAGCTGCCGCTCCCCCATCGCCTTGCGCCGCCCCTTGAGCACGGCGCTCTTCTCCCACAACTTCTGCGAGGTCGAAGTCTCCAGCGCGGGCGCCGCCAAGGCGCGCCCGTGTCGGCCCCCCATCGCCCATGAAGGGCCTCTCGTTGTCGAGATGGCCGCTGCCCCCGCCTGCCGTCGCCGAGAACAGCATCCTGGCGCACCTCTCCTCCAGCAGCTGGTGGCGCCGCCCCGCGAGCTCCAACGAGGCCTGCTCGCCAAAGTTGAGCTGGTCGCACGCCGGGGCGCGCTCGAAGAGCCGACTGAGGGACTCGTGCTCGCCCACCCCCCAGTCGGGCCCAAGAGCTGCCGCCACCAGAAGTGCCTCCGCGCTGGCGTCAACTCCTGGCGGGCGATCTCGCGAGCGAGCCACTCTGCCGTCCGAGGCCCGCTGATGGGCCAGTCCTCGGAGCGTCCTCAGCTCACTGGGCGCCCCCCCCCAGCGCGGCTCCTCCTCTGGGCGTCGGCCCGACCTGGGCTGCCCCGCGATCGCCGCGACGACGCCCCGCCCCCAGCTCTGCGGCGCCCGCGCGCTCGCCCGCGCGCGCCTCGCCCCGACTCTCGGAGAAGCGCCGCTCGCCCTGCTCCGCCGGCGGGTCGCCCCCCAGCGCCGACGGCGGCGGGGCGGCGGCGGGGAGGAATGGCGGCCGGGCGGCGCACGGGCCCAGGTCCAGCCTCTCCTGTTCGGCCAGCTTCGCCCCCTCGGCCTGCAGGCGCATGCTCTCAGCGCGACGCAGTGGTCCCTGAGAGGAGCCGCGGAACATGTGCGTCGGCCCGCGGCTCCAACCCAGCGGCAGCCCGCCCATCGGGCCGAGCGGCGCCAGACTCTCGATCCCGTCCTGGAGGTCCTCCAAATAGATATCATGCTCTGGGGTGGCCACTGCCCACGAGCCCTCGTGCACATGAGCGCACAGGAGCCGCTCATGCCAGAGCAGCTCGCGAGGGTCCACGTCGTGGGAGACGAGCACCCGCTGGCCCGGATGAAGGTGCACGGCCATCTTGACCTTCAGGCAGGCACAAGCTGTCCTGGGCGCCTGCCTCGCCGCGGCGGAGCCACCATCAGCCGCAGGCCGCCGCAGTGCAGACCCCCGCGAGGAACGCCAGCACAGCAACCAACAGCGCGACTAGGCCCTGGTAGCCCGAACACTCGGGCGGCGCGCAAGGCGCGGGGAACGTGAGGTTGGCGGGCCCGCAGCGCTGCAGCTGGCCCTCCAACAGGCGCAGCAGCTCGCGGTCCACCGAGAAGCCCTCACCGATGTCCGCCTGGCACGTGCACCACGCCCGCCGCGGCGGCCCTCGTCCACTCCATGGGCGATCCCCCGGCTCGCGCGGCTGGATTGATCCAGCGGTTGTGGATCCACAAATTGCCAGGCCAACGCGATAAACTAACTCCAAAGCCGTCCGACGGCCCGAGACGGCCCAAGTGCCCCCAAAGATCGCCCAAGAGGCCCAAGACGGCCCCAAGAGGCCCCCAAGACGGCCCAAGAGGCCTCCAAGACGGCCCCAAGAGGCCTCCAAGACGGCCCAAGAGCCCTCCAAGACGTCCTCCAATAAGACCCGAAAGGGTCAAAAGAACTTCCACACGGCCAAGATGACTTTCAAGATGCCGTCGTGTTCCCCGAAGGCTTTCCAAACCGATTCGGGGAGCCTGGCGTGCCAGACTATTGCGGTTTTGGTTTGGGCTCTTTTTCCAAAAAAACTCCCCCTGGGGCTTTGGCCCGTCCCGCCGGCCACCCGGAAAATCCCGAATCCCGGAAAAAACTCCGCCAAGACGGCTCAAAGATGGCCTCCAAGATGGCCACGTTGGCCCAAGATGGCCTCCAAGATGGTCCAAGGTGGGCTCCAAGTTCGCCCAAGATGGTCCAAGACGGCCTCCATGACGGCCCAAAAAATTCAAAGATTCCTCCAAGTTCGCCCAAGAAGCCTCCAAGACGGCCCAACACGACCCAAGAGGCCTCCAAGAGGTCCTTCAGGAGGACCCGAAGAGTCCAACATCATGGATGTTCCTTGGTTTTCGAAGGATTTTCGCATTCGCTTCTTCTCGGCTTTCCGACGACCCAAGACGGCCCAAGAGGCCCCCAAGATCGCCCCCAAAGCGCCCACGCGGCCTTCAAGATGGTCTCAGGACTGCCCAAGAGGCCCCCAAGACGGCCCTAAGAGGGCACAAAGACGACCCAAGAGGCCTCCAAGACGCCCAAGATGGCCTCTAAGACGGCCGTGGAGCACCCCAAGAAGGCCCCAAGTCGGCCCAGAGAGGCCCCCCAAACGGCTTCCGACGGCGTCAGACGGACCAGGAGCCCACCAAGATGGCCGAAGTTGGCTCGAAGCTGGCCCGAGAAGGCCCAAGAGGCCTCCAAGAGAGCCTCCAGGAAGGCCAGAAAAAGCAAAAAGCATTGATTTTCCCGAGGTGTTTGAAGGATTTTGACATTTGCGTTTTCTCCAAAGATCGCGCAAGAGGCCTCTAAGATGGCCCCAAAACGGCCCAAGAGGCCCCCAAGACGGCCCCACGAGGCCCCCAAGACGGCCCACGAGGCCTTTCAGACGCCCAAGATGGCCTCCCAAACCCCGGAGCATTCCAAGAGGGCCCCAAGTCGGCCCAGAGGGGCCCACCAAACGGCTTCCGACGGCGTCGGACGGGCCAGGAGCCCACCAAGACGGCCGAAGATGGCGCTCAGATGGCCCAAGACGGCGCAAGAGGCTCCCAAGGGGGCCCGAAGAGGCCAACATCATGGATCCCGCATGATTTTTTGAAGGATTGTGGGATTTGCTGTTTGTTCGGTCTTCCGACGGCCCGAGACGGCCTAAGTGCTTCCAAAGATCGCCCAAAACGCCCAAGACGGCCCCAAGAGGCCCCCAAGACGGCCGAAGAGCCCTCCAAGACGTCCTCCAATAAGACCCGAAAGGGTCAAAATAGCGTCCACACGGCCAAGATGACTTTCAAGATGCCCACGTGTTCCCCGAAGGCTTTCCAGACCGATTCGGGGAACACATGGTCCAATAGCTTGGCAGGTCTGGCCTCAACGTTCGGCTACATAGGCGCTTCCAGAATGGCAAGGGGCGGCGGTGATTCGCCGTAGGCGTCTTCGATCCGCCGCCCCATGTCGATTCATCACGGAGCTCAACTCCCGGAAAAATCCTCCAAGACGGCTCAAGATGGCCTCCAAAATGGCCACGTTGGCCCAAGATGGCCTCCAAGATGGTCCCAGATGGTCTCCAAGACGGCCCAGGAGAGGAGGAGATGCCTCCAAATCCGCCCAAGAAACCTCCAAGACGGCCCACGACGGCCCAAGAGGTGCCCAATAGGCCTCCAAGACGGCCCAAGAGGTCTCCAAGAGGTCCTCCAGGAGGACCCGAAGAGTCCGAAATCATTGATTTTCCTTTGGTTTTTGAAGGTTTTTCGCATGTGCTCCTTTTCGGCTTTCCGACGACCCAAGACGGCCCAAGAGGCCCCCAAGATCGCCCCCACAGCGCCCACGAGGCCTCCAAGATGGCCTCAGGACTGCCCAAGAGGCCCCCAAGACGGGTTCAAGAGGGCGCAAAGACGACCCAAAAGGCCTCCAAGACGCCCAAGATGGCCTCCAAGACGGCCCTTGAACATTCCAAGAGGGCCTCAAGTCGGCTCAGAGAGGCCCCCCAAACGGCATCCGACGGCGTCGGACGGGCCAGGGGCCCACCAAGACGGCCGAAGATGGCACTAAGATGACCCAAGACGGCCCAAGAGGCCTCCAAGAGGGCCTCTAGGAAAGCCCAAAAAGGCCAACATCATGGATTTCCCATGATTTTTTGAAGGATTGTGGGATTTGCTATGTTTTCGGCCGTCCGGCGGCCCGAGACGGCCCAAGAGCCCCCAAAGATCGCCCAAGAGGCCCAAGACGGCCCCAAGCGGCCCCAAGAGAGCCCACGAGGCCTCGAAGACGCTCAAGATGGCCTCCAAGACGGCCGAAGAGCCCTCCAAGACGTCCTCCACGTAGACCCGAAAGGGTCAAAATGGCCTCCACACGGTCAATCTGACCTTCAAGATGCCCACGTGTTCCCCGAAGGCTTTCCAGACCGATTCGGGGAACGCATGGTCCAATAGCTTGGCAGGTCTGGCCTCAACGTTCGGCCACATAGGCGCTTCCACAAAGGGCAGGGGGCGGCGGTGATTCGCCGTAGGCGTCTTCGATCCGCCGCCCCCTGTCGATTCATCGCAGGGGTGCCTGGCGTGCTAGACGATTTCGGTTTTGGTTCTGGTTTGTTTTCCAAAAGAACTCCCCCTGGGGCTTCGGCCTGTCCTGCCGGCCACCCGAAAGGATCTTCCAGAGGTGGTCGCCGAGGGTTTTCCTGCCCCAGATGGCTTCAAAATGCTTCCAAGACGGCCAAGATGGCTTCCAAGACGGCTAAGGTGGCCCCGAGATGCCCCCAAGGCGGCTCAAGATGCACCCAAGACGGCCTGAGCTGGCCTCCAGATGGCCAAGGACGGCCCAAGAGCCCCCTCAGAGGTCTCCAAGGCAGCCCAAGAGGCCTCCAAGAGGCCCTCCGGGAAGGCCCGAAGAAGCCAAAATCATTGATTTGCATTGGTTTTTGACGGATTTTTGCATTTTCGCCTTTTCTGCCTTCCGACGGCCCAAGAGGCCCC